CAATTCAAAGGTTAATAGGGTACTTTTGCTCAACTATATTTATTTAAAACCTTTAGTTACTTGGCAGATTATATAATCAACACTTAAATAAGACTTTAGTTACGCCTGAAGTAACAATAACAAGCTAGCCTGCAGTATGCAAAGATATTAAATAAGCTGCACCTTTAACAGCTCTGATAACAGTCAATACATGACTTTTGCTTGTAATAGCATTCCTACTCTTTGGTACTTCTACTTTTAATTAAGTACAATAATTTGAGTACTTCTTCAGCCTCTGCTTATTAACAACCGCTTTAACAGGTATAGATATGTGGATAGAGACTTTATTCATTCAAGCTGGGAAATTGTTTTTGTCACAGCAGCATTTTTGACAGCAAGAATTACATCACTTCTTAAAAATATAATTAAATGTAAAATAAACTTTATGAGCAAATATATATTCACATAGAAAAGACATACATAACGAAGAGTATCTAAGAATACACACTATAAAATATACAGATTACATGAGATTTTTTTCTAATATAGCAATCTACTAAAGGGACAGAAACATAGTGTACTATATACAATACAATTGTGCACTGTAGCTTTTCATTAAAAGTAAAATATATCCTGTGAGGAAGTGTAAGTAGGCTACAACGTGTATGTGCACATTTTTCATGATTATAGAAAGGGAAACCTATGGAGCAGTGAGTTCTCTGCCAGACAGAGTTGTTGTATAGTGAGTATATACTCACTGCAGGCTGTGCTGCTAGCTAATGTTGGATAATAACAATAATTTCAGCAAAGACATAACGCTGTACTGTAAAGCATATCAAATAACATCTAAAATAGTGGCCCCTTTTTCATTGTTTAATCTCCAACAATCTTCTCAAGTGTTGCCACCTTTTTTTTTAAGGTTAAATATCTCTTTAAACTGTCAACTATATAACCTTACTACTGCCAATAACCTACATTGTATCGCATGGTTTATTGATTAATAAGCGGCAGAAGACCCAACTGGAGGACTCTATTTTATGTTTCGTCTCAACCATAGACTGTATATATAACACAACAACACACAGCTTTGCTCTCTGACCTGCATCTGGAGGCTTTAGTACAGAAACATTTATATGCAATCATCATGTCTCATTATACAACACTAGACGCATGATTACAGCATGTTGGTGGTAGTACAGTAATACAATAGTCATGCATGTGGGATCCAAATCCAGAATGTTGGCTTAAAAGGGAAATGCCTCACAAGCCCAATTTCCTCATCATCTCATGCTGGCTGGTCCAGGGGAGTAGCTGCCTGTTTGAATGTGTAAATGAGTTTTCTTCTGCTGAATTACTCAACAGTAAAATGTGTATGGCTGATATTCAAAAGATTAAGCCATTACCAACGTTTTGCGATCAAATGAGTGGTTCCCATTACATATATTTACTCATAGATATGCAGCATCCCATTTATATTATTCTCTGTTTTAACCCACATCCATTAGTGTACGACCACTGCTCCGCCATTCCTCTCTGTTTGTTAAAAGTAATTTATTATGGTTGGGATTACATATGCCCTAGTGGCATTGCTTCATCTCAACTGGGAGAGTAGACGTTCAGCGTTGTCAATCTTCAGACGAAATCAGACGGCACTAAAGTAGATTTTTTCGTTAAATAATAATGATTATTGTTATTTAAAATATAGGCTCTGGTTGGGTAAGGCTAGGCACACAGTGGGAAGACAAATGTCAGTTTCACTACTATGAATTAATGTGAAAACAGTAAGCAGAACAAAATAGAGGAACTACCGTGGCATGTAACTCACTTTGCAGTCTTACGAAACTCCATTCTTCCTCGTTCACGCTTTGTCCTTTTTCCTTTAGCCTACATCGATGGAGGTGGGATTCTGTAAAAACATAGGCTAGCTTGACAGCAGTTGTATGGTACTTTGATATATACCCTTGTTTGCTTCTTTGTCAGAATAAAAGGAGGAAAAGGCCAGTTGACTCAGCAGTGTTCAGCTGAGCTATTCTTTAGGCAGACTCTGACCTTTTGTTGGGTTTTCACAAGGTGGCATGCTTCTGTTTTTACTGGAAATGTTGTTGAAGACACGACAGTGGGGTTGGTTGGCTAAGTAAACTGTTTGTAGCTGTGTGCATATGTGCTCTACTCCCACCAGGTAACCCTAGTCCAAGCTTAGAGACAACTTGGCTGTTCCTAAGATTAGCCATACACCGGTATTATTAATAGCCTGTTTAAAACGCTGATCTCACTGGTGGCTTTCCTTCATTAAGTCTCCAGCTGGGCTTAAGGTACCGATCCACCGCTATGGGACCAATTTAGACTCCTGCCACTCTAATCCACCAGTCCTAAATCGGTGTCACGTTATTGATAGTGCTACTTATCTCGCTTTGATTTCTTGTATGTTTGTTTCGTACAAAACCCCATGGCATACAATCTGGGACTGCCTGGGGATGTGATAGAAGCGTGTGTCGAGTGGTGTGAGTTTCAAAGGTGTTTGTCATTTCTGAATCAGCGCTGTACCGTCGTCATTGGTTATGCTGAGGAAGTCAATGTTTCATGTTTTTAACCACATATGAACCTCAAGTCTACATCAGCTACATCCGCTCTGCAGCTTGCCTGAACTACTGGCAAGGGTCCCCATGTGAACATGAGGATGTCGAACATAAAAGTGTGTTTTTAAAGTGTACTGTGTATGAGTTTCATCACATATGCTCCTATTTTAATAGAATTAGTTTGTCCTTTGTGAGCTGGGGGGAAATTAACACATTTTACATCAGAATATTTCAAATCTTTTTTTTGGTGCTTAAGATTAGCAGTAGTACAAATGTTAGCTAAACTTGAATTGATCTTGTCAATTGCAATACATTTGCAGAGCAACCTTTTGGGATATGATATGGCATATATTATTTATACCAATATGTCATTTTTGGCCAATAGGGGTCAAAAAAGCAAGACATAGTTTGGTGGCATTTTGAAGAAGCGTGCAATCATGGGAATTGTTGTATTTACCACAAATGCCATCGTTGCCGTCAGCTCCTCCCTGTTGAGGATGTGGTTTTTACTGGAAGCTGAATAATCCGATGGGATCTTATCACTGAAAACAAATAGACCTGTTGATTTGAATTTAAATAAAAACTGAATTTTTATTCAGTTTTAAAAATTTGAATAAAGCCGTTTCATGTTAGATATCGGTGTTTCTCACTACCAACAGTTTTCCTGCCGCTTACGTTTGCTCACTTTGTTCGTCTAATAATTCAAGATCCACGACTATAACTAAAATCCTTCATCCAGATCAAATATAGAGTGAAACCTACCAAGATCTAAGAAGTATATGTGGCTTAAAATAGCACAAAAATTACATTTATTACAACACTAACTATGCATACATCCCCTTTGTAAGAAACAAAATAAAACGGCCCATAACCCTGATTAAAATGAAATAACTATTTAGGTTTAAAATAATTGCAAACATTTGGGACGATGTACGTTTTTTTCAAAAGATATTTTAATGTGGAAATGTGGCTTAGTATACCCTTTCTTTATAGGAATTAAAATGGGTAAAAAAAGAAAGGCACCCCTTTTTGAAGGTTTTTTTAAAAAATTTGCTCACATGTCTTTTAGTTAATTCTCAGTCAAGTTTCCCTGTAATATTTATACAACTTAAGACTGAAGGGAGGTATAGAAATGGGGAAATATGATTACATAGCAGAGGTGGCAGTGTTTCCCCCAGGATGGAGTCATAGCAGCGGTGCTAAGGCACGTGGGCCCAGCATAATGTGAGCGTGGAGCGCGTGGAATTTTTTAGTGCGTGCGCGTGCGAAGTGCGCCCCGCCAATTTGTTTCTATGTGTTAGCACAAGAAAGGCTCTTGAGGCCTAGTACCAGGGCCGGTTCTAGACAATTTGCTGCCCTAGGTGAGATTTTAGGCGACATTTTATATCCAAAGAATAAATGAAAAATCTCTACAATTTGACAAATACACTGCAAAAACAGAAACTTATTGACATAGGTAATAGACGTCAAAATGGCTTCAAATGTATTCAGTATTGTATGAACATGTTTGAATTGGGGGGTGGACGTCACATCCTCTAGGGGGGTCCGGGGGTATGCCCCTCCGGGAAGATTTTTTTGTGAACATTTTACAGTAAAATGCTTCAATCTGGTGCACTTTGAGCACACAATTACTAGAGACCTGATCTAGGGGTCACAACTCTAAAACGCCCATATGAAAAAGATCGGTTTACATTTTAATAATCAAATAAGTATATGAACATAACCAATAACCTACCATAGCCAATAACAAATACATGTAGCTTATTTTATTTGTGTTGTTCATTCATATCTTATTTTACCTAGTTAACCTAGCGCCCACCGTACAGGGCAAATTAAAAGTGTAACCAGGGTGAAAAGGGTGTTACATTTACTTAATTATGAATGTTGTTACATCAAGGCCGAACATTAGGATGAGCCGCCCAACGGTCAAAAAATGTTTTTTCCCCTCCCCAGAGCTACCAGCGCAGCCGCTTCCCAGATCTGGCGCCCTAAGGCGACCGCCTGTGTCGGCCTATGCCAGTAACCACAAATACTACAAATTCCTACATAACAAACAATCAAAAAGGAAAAGGGTCACCACTTATTTATTCATTTCCAAAAAAAAAAAAAAGTACCTTGGTACCTTTTGGGTAGCTGGCTGGCGGCCCCCCAGCCCAGCGGCGGCTCATATTTCAGCCAGGCGCGCGGCTGCGCGCCAACTATTTGTATATAGGGGAAATACGTGGGTGGGGTTGTCCAAAACCAATATGTATCCAACGGAAATACGCATGTGTCTTTTCATTTTCCTTTTTAACTGGTAAAGGGCTATTGCTGTTTTAATGCCTTCAGTCGAGATATTAACCGATGTCGCTTGTTTCTGCAGGTGAGGCTAAATAAGAACCGTGGGTCCAGCTCTCGGGTCAAAATCCGACCAAAGAGAATCCTCTGCACCTTGCCTGGCACATAAGTCTGGATCAGGCAGGAGGTGTTTCGCCACAAGGTGTTCGACCAAGAGCCGTCAGGTAAGCAACGTTACCTCTGGCATCTCGCTAACTATACCTCTACCAGGGTATACACCGACCTATATTCAGTTTTACATCTGATACTGTACAGGGGGAGGGGTTGATAAACGATACAGTCCCCCAAAGGTTAAACATTACACACGTTATTACGTGTCATAAATACCTGAATTACAACCACACATTCTTAAGTGACATAAAATGGCCACTGAAACCTAGCAGTCATTACTTAAGGACTGGTGGTCACAGTTATTTTGAAAGGTGTGTCTGTTGAGCAAGAAGGCCATATTTTATTATTTTAGTTGTATACAATATTAACCTTAATTCACCTCAAATTATAAGAATCAGCAGTGGCATTTTTTATTATCCCGCGGGAGGTGAAGTTTCCTTGACCCATGTAGTACCATTTTTACAATACAATTACTGTAAATTTTCGGACCTATAAGGCGGCACAACTGAATATAAGCCCCGCAGCAGCGGGCATAACCACTCTCCCAGTTCCACTTTTACTTTTGCGGCCGCTAACCTGTCTCACCCTCTTTTCGCGGCCCTCCAGCAGCTTTCCTGCTGGAACCCGCCCCGCNTGGGGAAAAGAACACCTGAATCTAGATCCCTCTGCAGTTGGTACTTTTAGTATATTTTGATGCTAATACTTTTGTAGTTTTACTTGTAACATTTTGAATGCGGGACTTTTTATTGTAACTGAGTATTCCTACACCCTGGTACTTTTACTCAATCTGAACTTCTCCCACCTCTGACAATAAATCCTAAGTGCCAAAAAAATAACCTGCTCTGAAGGTTATTTTCATTTTACAAATCCTGCACCTCATTGAAATGCAGCCAGATGCTGCTTATTTTTTCGGTTTTCGCTAATTTCTTGACTTTTTCTGACGCGCTTGCATTTAAATCCGGCTCCCGTCGCTCTGTGCAGCTGGCCTGTACCACTACACCTGCTGTGCCCCCCACCCTTCTTTCACATAATGGTATGATCCTAGTCTGTCCTCGCATATGATTGGCCGCATGGTGGCCCTAAATAAAGACCCGCCCCTGCCTGCAAGGATTCTCAGCAAGAGTAGAAGGGACTGGAGATGCTGCTCTCCCCGACGGGAGTCTGCCCTTCTAACTGCAGCTCGCGATCGGCGTGTTGGAGACCCCTGAATTAAATTATCAAGTCACCTCAAGTCAGAAAGCTCAAGTCCAAGTCAAGTCCCAAGTCATTGGTGTTGAAGTCCAAGTCAAGCCGCAAGTGTTTTGTGATTTTGTCAAGTCTAGTCTCAAGTCATCAAATTGATGACTCCAGTCTGACTCCAGTCCAAGTCATGTGACTCGAGTCCAGACCTCTGGAGGTAAGTGACACTCCTATTTCAACTGTTAATAGCAATGAGGAGGTTGCAGATGTAGACCATGGTAGTGGTGAAAACAGTCTTGCTGCTCATCAGAGCAATATCATTATGATACAAGACACACACATGAAGAAGCATGACATTCCAACAGTCAATGCTTGTGAGGACGTTGGTTTGGGTCGCAGCAGCCAACAAACAAAACAAATTGGAAAACAGGCAGACTCCGCCTCTGTTCACTCTTACACCATTACAACACAGCTGGCTAGCAGCTCTCTGAGTGATCACTGCTACATTATTTCTGAGTCTCCAAAAACACTGAAAAGTAAACATTCCCAAGTTGAGGTTAAGCTATGCGCAGCTCGCAAACAACTGAGGTTGAAAGGCCAGCAGACAAGGAGACTGAAGGCACGAGTTTCTTCCTTGGCAGGTGTAATAAAAGAACTTCAGAAGACACTCCTTATTTCAACTGACTGTGCCTCTCTTCTTGATGGTCTTGATGAGGTTCCCCGAGATGTCTTTGAGAGAATACAAAAAAAGAAGAAGTCAGTTTTTTCTGAAAACATGAAGCAATTTGCCACCACATTGCACTTCTACTCTCCAAAGGCCTATGACTAGCTGACTATGTCAGAGAAAGGTTTCACTTGTCTTTGCCTCATCCTCATTCAAAAATGGTACAGTAGCATCTCGGCAGATCCTGTATTTACTGTTGCTGCATTCACAGCTTTAAAAAGTCATGTTGCTGAAAGGAAAGAAGCAGGGAAAGACACAGTTTGCTCATTAATGATGGATGAAATGTACATCCATAAGCAAACTGAGTTTGGGGGGGACTAAATTCATGGGTATGTTGACATTGGCTCTGGAGAAATTGAAAATGTGATTGCAACCCAAGCATTGGTCCTAATGGTTGTTGCAATCAACCAGTCTTGGAAGATCCCTATTGCTTACTTCCTCATAAACAGCATGACTGGAACCGAGGGAGCAAACCTCATCCGAGAGAGCCTTGTTAGGCTTCATGCAATTGGAGTAAGGGTTATCTCTTGGACATGCGATGGACCCTCCCAAAACGTTGCCATGATCAGGGAGCTTGCTGCCAAATTGGACATTTTTGACATGAGATCATTTTTTCTCCATCCTCAGGATCACTCACAAAAGATCTACGTGATCCTTGATCCATGTCATATGCTCAAGCTTCTTCGAAATGTCTTCTCAACAGTTGGGATTCTGGTAAGAGAAGATGGCCAGCAGATAATGTGGAAGTACATTGAGGAGCTCCACAAGCTGCAGGAGAAGGAGGGCTTGCGTCTTGGCAACAAGCTAAAAATGGTGCACATCCAGTGGAGAAATCAGAAAATGAAGGTCAATCTTGCAGCCCAACTATTTAGCAGCAGTGTGGCTGATGCCCTTGAATATTCCGAAAAGGAACTTAAGTATCCTCAGTTTACTGGAAGTGCAGCCACAGTTCAGTTCCTGCGCACAATTCATGCAGCCTTTGACATCCTTAACAGCCAAAACCCACTCGGAAGAGGACACAAAGCACCCATCAAGCCAGCAACTAAACACCGTGCCACAACGTGCTTCTAGAAGAAGCTGAGTCCCTTCTCCGTGGGCTTGAAGTGAAGGGAAAGGACAACAAACTTGTTCCTTTACATGCCACACAGAAGAAAACACCCATCTGTGGTTTCATTGCTTGTGGGAGAAGTGTTATTGGCATCTACGAAGACCTGGTAGAGCAGCCAGCTGCCCCCTGTCGATACCTTCTGAGCTACCAACCCAGTCTCACGGCATTTCGTGTTCACCAACACGATTTTTAATCTATTGATTCGTGTTCACCAACACGATTTTAACCTTTTTTTCGTGTTGCACAGCACAATTTTAAAAGCAATGTATTTCTGTTGCGAGTCTCACGGCATTACGTGTTATAGGAAGACCGGAAGCTGTGTGGTTCATAAAAACATGTTCTTACTCAATATCAAGCCAAGATTATTGCTTTTATTTAAAATCGTATCATTTCGGACTTTTGTTGCTGTCTGTGAGGAAAATAAATGGGGCTCATTTTTCCTTCTAATTTGTTATTCTTTTCAAAATAACACATATTTAGTCAACAATAACACACAATTATCCTTGTTTTTATTTATTTGTTTAATTCTATAATCTCTGGCTTTTTTGCCGTCCTTCAGGAACTGAATTTCAAAATAAAAATAACCGGAAACAGACGTAGGCCTATAAGGGACATTTCGAGCATCATCGAGTTTAGGATGGCCGAAGACACTACACTACACATAATCCCCAGCTATCGTTTAGGACTACAGTCCCCGTGATTAAACTTCAAGTCGGGATTGGATGTTGGAGTGGCAGTGCGCCAAGGTTACGGAATCGAAACTGGATCGAACGCCGCCCCCCCCCAACAATTAGAAGTTGCCAGTATTAAACACCAATTATTAACCAATTAAAATGAACCGATTAAACATCTCTCTGACACAGTTTAAACGCATTTCAAGTGGAAGAATTGTTCGTGTCTCCTCTTCGTGTCTCGGGAAGCTGGAAGCTGTATTATTTTCAAAAAATAAAAAAATATTTTTTTTAACCATAACGGGTACTTTACACAACATTGAGTCAAACTTATCCTTGTTTTAATCCTTGTTTTATTTATGTTAAATTGTTGTTGTCGGTTAATTTTCCATTTTATTTATTTTGGAGATATCATTATTTTTTATTTATTATTATCATGTTAGATGTTTAAACTTTTCTGCATTTTATAAACCAATATATACTTTTTTGTTTTTGTCCGTAGGCTACTTAGGTTATTAAAGAGTTATCGTGTCAAAATATAGGAAATGTATTAATATTTTATTGTATAATCGGTACAGGAAATTACATCATTCAGAGCACCACCTATTGGCCAAAGACCGCTGCCACCGGCATTGCGATCCATCCTCTGACAAAGTAAGTTGGGTCACTAAAGTCTGATACATGTTTTGCTTAGATTTAATAATTGGGGCTTTTTTTTAAGCCTTTACTCGCATGGTTCATCATACATACTGAACTGTTCTAAGTCTGAGAAATGCTTTCGCCATAATCAGCAAAGCAACATTAATGTGAAATTATTCTTGCGGGCGGCTAGCTAGCTAGCTCACGTTCAACATAAGCTTAAACTAGTTTAGCTACATTTATATCAGCTCATAAGTGGTGTGTGAAAAATATTTGTCTTAATTACGGCTACATACGTCGGTGTTAAAGTGTGAGTTATACGTTATCTTAATCGCTTTTGTTTTACACATGACAGTACTAACGCTGGCCGACATTTTTATATATGTTTGGGGGGGAGGGGCATAGTCCACGTCCATGTGCTTGTTACGCGTATGAAACAGGAAACACGTAAATGAACTCAGTCTGTCTAAAGTAGTTAAACCGTCACAATGTGCATTTAAAAAAGCTAGTTTCACTACATAATTCACTTTTTCTGTTCTCTCCTGCAGCTCCTGTACCCACACCACAAACCCATACACTGATCTACACCATCATAAAACCAACGGCACTTTTAAGAGCCAAACTCAACCTATCTAGCTATCTCCCTATCTAGCTCTCTTATATCTATCATCTATTTCTTTATTCACCCTTCTATCTATGCTGTGTACTTCTCTACTTTCCTGTGTTTGTCAG